CATGGAACAGTATCACTGGTCTCCTGAAATCATGTTCCAAACTACTTATTGGATTTTTCAATTTTAACACCCTCCACCAATCCAACCAATAAGTTTCGCTAACCAAAACTCTGGCATCGGCCCATGAATGTGTGCTGTGTGTGAGGTACATACAGGAACCAGGTGCAATTATTCAGTTAACCTCATTCGGAGATTCCATTGCTAGGTCTCGTGATCTTGCAAGTTTAGGTATAGTATTAAGTGCTAAGGTGTAAAGTGCACTGCTCGAGTGGATCCCAGTTGACAGTCACGTATGCCCTGTTCGACTGGATGGCATAGTGAGGAATAAAAAGAATGGTGAAACTTGACGTCGTCTCTTTGTAATCTCTTTTTACACACTGACTACAGTTCAGACAAGGTGAAGGATGAGTGTTATATTAGACATTTATGTATTAGAAATTTAAAATGTTCCTCGGCCAATGATTTTAACTGAAACTCTCCACATTCAGTTAAATTGGGCAGAAGAAGAAATATAGTTCTCATTTATGTTTTTAGTTAATTTGAAACAATTTCACCTCGTGTGAAAAAGAATAATGGATTCACCAAATATGTCCTTTGAGGTTAAGACCGTCTCACTGGAATCTAAATCTCTCATCTGTTTTGAGATAATAAAGTTACAGTGGATTTTCATATTCTTTAGTGCTCACTTTGCGTAGTAGAAGTCTTACTCGAGAGGCGTCATCAAAGTTTGTCAAATCAACTTTAAATACATCTTCAAGCCTATGAAACTAATTTTGAAATGTGATTTCTTTCTCCGGTTCATAATGAAGTTCAGTGATTGAATTTGGGTGTCAACCACTTGAGCATTTGATATATGTGAGCCATTTAAAGACATTGATGATATGAGAGCAATGAAGATTCAAATATTTGGTTTTGCTAATTGAGGACATCTTTCAGTTGTTCAGTTGTCAGAGACACTTTCAAATTGGAAGATCGGTCACCACTGTTATGTTTCTGACTTAACAGTTTGACTGTTGTTGCCGGTCTTAACCTGCGTTAAGTTTTCCTATTGAGTCCTGTGATTAACCGACTGAGGAAAATGCCTGATACTTGTCCTAATCAGTAATATTCCCGGGTTACTATATCCAACTTGATCCTACAGCCACTAACGTCACACCGGCTGACTCAGAAAGAAGATGAAGTTGGGCTATTAGCCACATAATACACAATATTATATTGTATATGGCAAGATGCATGGAAAATGTACAAAGGCCTAAAAGCGCAAGGGCCTAATCGGAATGTAAATGAATAGGAACAAAGATGGATACGTGAAGGACATTCGTAACTAACTTACTGTTGCTCTCATCCTTTTTGGCTAAGGATGCAAAAGGCAGTTTCACAGAAAACTGTCTAGCCTCTTGCTGAAAGCCCAATGTTCAGACGTAGTTGTTGTGACAGGTGATTTGTATGCATAAGTGGGTTGGATATGACTCTTAGGTGGCACTTTTGGAATCTCATCCGAACAAAGGGATAACGGCAGTCGCCTGCTACAACTATGCTCAGGCAACCATTTCTAACCAACACGAACTTCAGAAAAAGATAGACAATAATGGTGGATAGTGGCTAGCAGTGGAGTCCAGGATCCGTGTTACGTGCTGCTTAGAACTCGTCAGCTGGATGTACCTGCAGGGTACCTAAAGTTGTGCCCACCGAGCTCAACTCAGCGGTGTACGTAGACCGTGTTACTCTCATTTGTCCTTTCGGTGGAAGATTTCTACTTCTCCTGGAGCATCTGTCTGGACAGTGATCACATGGTGGTTTTAGCATGGGTGTTTCCACGCCCAAATGTTTATGGGAAAACTACGGCAGCAAGGTGTGAGTGCTGCTTGACAATACTAAGACCGCTTTCAGCAAGAAACTTGTTAAACAGTTATCGGAATAGGGTAAAGTTACTCGTTCCAGAAAAAGTGTTATTATATTCAGTCCGCTGTGGGAACATCGTTGAGGACCGTGACTGATTCTCAGAAAGTGGTTAAAAAGGGCCAGTGTGTCTCAAATTTCAGATGGAATGAACTGCGTATGAACCTATTTCGGTCATCAGCAACCATGGAAATGCAGTTTCTGATGTCGCTCCGCTGCCTTGTGGATTAGTCAAAGGCTTGAGGTGTTGTCGCCTAAGAAACTACCGGTCTGTACGCCCGGGTAGTATCCCAACCCTCAGACAAGAAATGAACCATGAACTTGCAATATAAAAATATTTTGAAGCTATTAATCAACCTTTCTGCGAATACTCAAGCTCTCTGGACTGCGAACGTTTTAATGAATCACTCATTTTATTACGATTGTACTGTTTTTTTGTCTTTACATATGAACTGTATTTTTTTATCATTACTATTTTCGCTTTTTCTTTATCTTCACTTCACTCAGCTGCTCTCCGCTGCTTAGACTTCTGGTCTGTCTGTACCATTTCGAGTCGCTAAACAGTTACCCCTACAAAGCTATCCCCCAGTGCGACATCTAACACAGCCATCCTAAAACCACACGTATCGTTTAGGCTAGCCAACTTAAAGGTTAGAGCCTTGATGTAGGAGGCGTGTCTGGAAAATTTATTAACGTCTTGAAATTCCTATATAACAACACCGTAGGTAGAGCGAGGGCATGTAACCACCTGTCTCCATTGTTTCAATCAGCAGTGAAGTTAGGCATGGTTGCCCGATTTCTCCATTCCTCTTTAACTTTGCCATCAATGACATTTTTGAGACACCTCTGAAGAAGGTACGTCGTCGTGGTGTAGATCTACTACCCGGAGAAAGGCTATTCCACGAATATGCAGACGATATCGTCTTTCTGTACGATAAAATGCAGGCTGCTGAAAATCGCACGTAATCAGTTGGCGATTAGTGTCCATAGATATGATATGTACTTTGCACCACTGGAGTGCAAAGTACTTTTGCAGTAGCCTGTGCTTGCGCTCACCCTTGGTTGTGAGCCGTTGGAAGTAGTTGAAAAGTTCATGTATCTGAGTGGTTGTGTGAGTGCTGATGTAGGTGAATGGTAAGATTTCCAGCCGTACATCGAAAGTCGGAGTGTCATATATCAATCTGGATCACTTTTGGCACCGTTGTGACGTTAGTCTGACCGTAAAAGGTCGGATTTACAGCGCTTCGGTGGGAGCAGTTCTGCACTACGCCTGTGAAATCTGCCTTATCCGAGGTGAGGATGTGTGACGTATCTATGTGCTCGATTATCCTTGTCTCCTTAGGATTGCTCTTATCCAGTTGCAATATCATGTGAGTAATGCTGAAACACGACAGCATGTGTCTGGGGCTAATAGAGGTGGTCATTCAGTTTATGAGGTCATTTGGAAAGACCAGCTTCGGTGGCTTTGACATGTGTTACTCAAGTCGTCCCAACATCTTCAGTGGCGTTTATTGTTTGGTAACCCTGTGACTGGATGGAAGAAGTGGAGGGTTGGTCAGTGTATGACGTGGTGGCGTGTAATGAAGGGTAGTTGTGTGTGTGTGTGTGTGGTTAGGATCTGTTGGTGCATGACGACTGTGTGTGTGGGTCATGAGATATCAGGTAACTCAGTGTGTTGAGACGTTGTGAGATATGGGTGAGAATGGAAAGGAGTGCTGGTGATGCTGTAACTTGCCTCTATTTTGTGCTACTGAAAAGTAATGAGTGTTTTGTTTTGAACGTCTGTTCCTTTTTTTTCTTCCTTGCTTATCCTCTTCTCATGGTTTATCTCTTCACATTGTTACTATACTATTGTGTGTGGCAGATTTCTTGGTGCCCTTGGTGTATCATGTTTGTGTTCTGATAATAATGATAATAATAGTGGATCTCAGCAGCTTCGGAACGCATCCCTTCTGGCTCCAGGTACAGTGGTTGTGAAACATGGCGATTGAAGGCGGAGGACATGTTTGACCACAGTTGCCTTTGTAGTATAAACCATGTGTTGTGGGGTCACAATGTCTGTAATTTAAATGTCAGGTGTATGGTTTCAAGGCGGAGAGAAATGTCAGCTGATGACGTTGTAAACCTTCATCGATTGAGATGGCTGAGATGTATTTTTTCCTAGCTAGTCACCGTTTTCCTCATGTCACCACTATGTCAGCTCAATTAGATTTAGACTAGAAAAAGGTTAGGGGCGGCCAGACTAAAACCTGGCATCACTGCACAAGGTCTTTCGCTGTCGGTCTGAACAGTGTAAGGAAATGTAGACTTTCTGGTTAGGTGCAGGAGACAGTGGAAACCAGTAGTTGTTAACCATATGTGATATGGCTAAGAATCTGTATCAGTGGTACAGATGTACGCGCGCATTATCTCCATGTTATTCCTTATGCTGCATTTTAGTATTTTCTCGTTCGTGCTTAGTCTATTTTGATCATTTTCTACCACTTTTAACTGCTTTCTCTATTTTTTTAATCTTACGTCTTAAGTGATTATAGTATGGTATAATATGAATTGTGGTGACTTGGTTCGCAATACAGTAGTGTCAGATATTATGTTGATATTGTTTATCTCTCTGTCCAAATTCATCAGTGATGTCTGCTCTTATCTATCCTCACACATGTAGCTTATAAAATCTTCATCAAAGCATTCGGATACCCTGTGAAGCAGCTACAGCATGCGAAATGCGTTAGCTGCAGATACATTGCTATAAGTCTTTGTTGCCAGATCATAACTCACATTAATTCCTAAACCTTTTTTGTTTCCTGTGCTTCTGGGTTTTGTTATTTCACCGTACACGTATGTTTTCTTCTCATATATTCTCTCTGTTTTACAATATGCTACAATTATAAATGAATTAATATTACGTTGTGTTGTGAGTTCACACAAATAATGTTGACTGATCATTAGAAGTTTGTGTATTGTACACTTTTTCAGGTATACGATCAAATCACTGAATTAATGTCTAATTCTTGATAAATCCAGCTTCGGTATCATTATTCCTTGAACATAAATACCTCATCGAATAAATTAGTTAATCAACAAATCAATCCACATTATTATAGATGGAATTTATATCGAAACCGGTAATTTCATGTAAGTGGTTTTCCTAATAGTAAATTTAGTGTATTCTGTTAAATTTTTCTCATGTATGTTATTTAGATATGCTTTATTTGAAATAGTGGTTTGTTGTGTTATTTTTATCCATAGGTTTCGCTGAGTACTTTTACCTCTCCATTACTGTATTCTAAGTAGGTTTCGTCATTCGACTAAATTTAGAGATAAACACGGTGTTAATCCAAACTACTTTGAGGTGTATCTCCTACTCACTATGTATCATCAAAGGATATTCGTGCAAAAGTGATATATTTATCGCACAACACCGTTCGTCTAATTTAAAAATATTTTAGAACTAAGCAACTGATATTCTTGTTTATTACTAGGATTTGTTGCAAGGTATAGCTCGTAAGAGCAAGAAAAAACTGTGGTGGTGTCCATCAAGGGTGCCCATTCTCTCCATTCTTATTCAATTTTGTCACAGATATTCTTATGGAGGTCTCCCTTCAGTCACGTGACTACACAGAAACTGACCTAATCGCGGGAGAATTTTCGTTAGACCTAGAATACGCAGATGACATATTCGTGTTAGATGAAGACGCTGACAAGATGCAGAGTCTTCTGGACACTGAGTGGCAATTTGAGAGTGTTTGTGATACGTTTGCCATCACTCAAATGCAAATTGTTGCTCGAGGATTGGTCTTCAATGGTACCATGGCTAACAATAGAGAGTGAGTGTAGTGGTTAAGTGTGGTGAGCACTTCACCTACCTGACAGGTGGGATCAGCCTTGTTGCGTTGGTCAGTGACCGATGAAATCTCTGCACGAATACAAAAGGCTTGGCTGAGTTTTGCCAACTTATGCCACCTGTGGAGCTGCTGTGATATCTGACTGTCTATTAAGGGTCGCGTGTACTGCACATTAGTCCGGTCTGTTCTACTGTATGACTGTGAAACATGACCATTGAAGGTGGAAGACATGAGAAGGCTTTAGGTATTTGACCAGCGTTTCCTTCATAGTATAGGCGGTATTCCGTTGTGTCACCACGTGAGTAACGCAGATGTTTTAAGGAGAAGAGGTAAATCAGTTGATGTGGTTGTGAACCTTCATCGACCGAGATGGTTGAGACGTGTAGTACGTATGTCTAGTCGCCGTCTGCCTTGTCTTGCAATATTGATCGAGGTAGATTCAGACTAGAAAAAGGGTTGAGGCGGCCAGACTAAAACATGGTGTCAATGTAAGATGTCTTTGACTGTTAGTTTGAGCCATGTGGGGCGATGAAGAGTAGGTGGTTTGGGTCGGTGGGACAAGAGGAACCAGTGGTTAGAGACTGTTGGTGATGTGACTCAGAACTAATGTCATTGGCACAAATGTTAACACACATTATCCTTATCTTAACGCTGTACTTAATCTCGCCGTTTTCTCATTCTTCCTTTTTCTTTGACTGCATTATATTTCTTCTAACTGAATTTTCTTTTCTTCATCTTCCACTTCACTACTGCCCCTTTACTTCATGTACTGATATCAGTTGTCGCAACTCGGACCATTATGCACTAATTCCTGGTCCTACGTGATTCGCATGGAAGGATGTGGGGATTAGGAACCAACTGGCGTCATTTATTTCCAGTGGCCTATCGCTTCAGTTGCTCAACTTTTAGCCCGTGTTATGCTTTTGAATCCTTCTTCACTTACGTAAGTGTTGACAACTACATGGTGTCATAAGCGTCAGCACACTACATCAGTGATGCAGAAATTACATGTACAGCTTTAATTAAAGGTAGGTCACTTGATAAGGTTGTAAACCATCATGGATTCAAATGACTGGGGCATGTTACGCAGGCCTAGTGAGGAAGTGGAGTTAGGCTGGAGAAAGGTTATAAGCGGCGAGACTAAAACATAACATCAGTGGTGATGCCTGTAACTGTTGGTCTGAGCCATGCACGGAAATGTAGACTTCCTAGTTGTGGTCTGCATGACAATCGAAACCGTCGGTTGGAGACTCTAGATAATATGACCGGAAAAAGATCTCTGTTGTGCGTATGGCTGGCCAACAATCTTAACTATTTTACTCCTTATTTTCCCTACGATTCATCTTGGTGCCTTCTATCTTGTTTTGTTGATATGGGATATCGGACTTTTACTGTTACGTAGTAATACTGAGCTCCGAGGGTGCTTTTGACTGATTGATAAGCGTCAACCATATCATCTTGTTTCTCGTATGCTTTTCTGTGAGTGTCGTTAAAATGTCTCTGTCTTTTCTAGCCAATTTTGTAACCATCTTAAATTAAAACTGCATAAAATGGTGTTTCGACAACTAGAACCAAATACCTAGTAGTATAGGCTGGTAGAGACAGAAAGACGCTAAAAAGAATAAACATTTGTGTAAAGGGCAGGCGTTCAACTTGTCAGACCGTAATTCCATTTTAGTCTGTTTATTAGAAATGTCACATGTAGTGAACGAACAGTATCATTGACTGGATAACAACGTTTCGGACACAATTTATTGTCCACATTCATATCAGGTAACTCCACAACTTCGAGACAGAGTTTATATTGCCCTAATTCTCTCTTCTTCTCTGTGATGACAAGGGTAGTAGAATCTTCCATATATGTGTGGGACCGGTGCACAATCATTTCTATTACTGCGTGTATTTGGTGTTGATTTGATAAACAAGGGCTAGAGAAAGGTTTTAAATTCAGTGTAGAGGTTGATGAATTGAGACCAGAAGATGTCATCTCGAAAAAAGAAATAGCGTTAAGTTCAATCGATAAGACAATTGGAGATGAGGTAAGAGCACAGTGCGCTGTAACACTGAAATGACAGGAGAAAATAAAATCTAATTTACCCAAGGCAGAAAGAGAAATTCTCAGGAACCTTCAAGATGATAACAATATAGTAATTGCCAAATCGGATAAAGGCAACTCAATAGTTGTAATGAACAAATCTGACTACATCTACAAAGAGAATGAGCATAAAGAAACAGGACCATATGAGAAAGTTAAGAAATCAGTGGATATTATTGTAAATAAGGTTAAGAAATCGACAGGGGATCTGATACGCCGGATGAAGTTATTTCTAGGTGGGTGAAAGTGGTTTAATTTAATGCCGAAAACTAATAATCCCAGTAGAATGTATGGGTAGTATTTGGATTTATAGGCCAAGTTATCCCATCAGGCCTATAGTAGATTTTAGAAACACTCCGACTTACGAGTTGTCTAAATATTTAGCGATGGTGTTAGACCAAATAAGAAATCACCCAAAATCTCGACTCACTAACTGTTATGACTTAAAGCACAGATTACATGATATACAGTTAGATGACAATGAAAAAAGTGGTTGGTTTTGACATGACTAACCTTTACACAAATATACCGATTGACATGGCTCTAGAGATAGTGAGCTTACGCGCCGATCGAGGAAATCATGTTAGGAGTACGATTATGCCTGACATCTACAGTTTTTAAGTTTCAAAATAAAATAATATAAACAAACTGGTGTTGCCATGGGGTCACCAATATCGCCTATCATCGCAGATATATTTATGGATAGTGGGGAACGTATGGCCCTTCAAAAATTTAGTCCTATTCCAAAGATATAGTTCAGATATGTGGGTAATACATTTACATCACTGAAATCGGAACACATCAATAGATTCTTGGCATATATAAATTCAGTAGTGAATTCAAACTGATTTACCTGTGACTTAGGAAGTGAAGAAGTTGAGCTAGCAATGTTGGCTTGTAAGACTAAGTGAAAACAAGACGGAAGTTTAGAGACTAGTGTTTTTAGGAAACTTTCCCATTTGAATCGCTACTTACACTTCAAATCATCCCACCCCATTTCAGTTAAAGCAGGCTTAGTTAAATGCCTAAGTAATAGGGCGAATAAGCTTTTTAGTTAGCCAGAAACCTGCGGCAAGAAATTAGACACTCCAAGAATACCTCGTATCTCAATAATTACCCACCTAAATTTAGAAATAAATTCATAAGAAATCGAAAGCCTTTGCCGTTAGCATACAAAGAAGGCACCGCAGAAGCATAACGAAGAATTTTCAATAAGGCTGTCTGGGATTAAGCTGGCTGACATTTAAACCAACAAACTCGCTTAGAAACAATCTTTGTAGGTTAAAAGATCCTATCGGTGCAATTCAGAAAAACAATTTCGTTTACCAAATCCCTTGGAATGATTGTGAGGTGAAATACATAGGTCAAAGTAGTTGTCCAGAGTCGTTTCAAATAACAGAGCACAAAAACTTAGCTAAATCAAGATTAGTAGATTCTAATAGGATAAGAAATTTAGAGTTGGGACAGAGCGACAGCATAAAAAACTTAGTTGGGTGGAAGGAGAGATTGATAACCGAATCTTTGTTTATCGAATCAACACCAAATACACGCAGTAATAGAAATGATTGTGCACCGGTCCCACACATATATGGAAGATTCTACTACCCTTGTCATCACAGAGAAGAAGAGAGAATTAGGGCAATATAAACTCTGTCTCGAAGTTGTGGAGTTACCTGATATGAATGTGGACAATAAATTGTGTCCGAAACGTTGTTATCCAGTCAATGATACTGTTTGTTCACTACATGTGACATTTCTAATAAACAGACTAAAATGGAATTACAATCGACCACAGTGCCCCAAGTTTTATTATTATTTTGCAAAGAAGGCCAAGTTGACAAGAAGCAGAATGATAGAAAGGTGGAGAAAAAGGATATAATATGGTAGAGAACAAATGGTTGAAGATCAACTTAGTGTTGTGAATTTTGAAGATGACAAGCAATGAATTCGTTCACATCACTAGTTAAATTCAATTTATGTCCTATATAGTTTCAGTCTGTTTACTTGTCATATCTCAGGGAGCCTATCGAAACAGGCCGCACTTCTCTATACTGCTTATTTCAACACTCCAGAAGTTCATAAAGTGGTTTCATGATTTATTCCAACCAAGTTTTACTTCACTTTACAACAGGCGAGTATGCTACAGTCCATGGTATCGGAGGAGTTACATCAAACCGAATGAACGTGGTTGGTGA